GCTCATGGAGATCAGCTTACATTAATACTCAACAACACTAAAAACAGGGTCCAAGGAGAGACATCCAATAACCGTAAGTGCCTGCCACTAGCAGACTGTGGGGGGCCAGCCCCTGCAAAGAGATTTAGAGGATCCCTGGGAGGTGTGGAGGCATCGGCGATTATTCTGGAGAAATAAAGAGAAAGAAAGAGAGAGACGGGGGAGGGGGAGAAAGAAAGAGACTGGACTCTGTCTAGTGCAGAAGCCGTTTAATGGGATGAACCATAAGCCTTTTTTATCCTAAAGTTTCACAGGTTAAATCACAAGACTTTCACATGAACATAAAGCCAGGTGGGTGAGCGGGCATCCCCCACCCACCAGGTGTTTTCTCAGAAGCAATACAGCAATTCTAATATCATAATATTCTAATAATCAATAACTTTTAAAACTTATGCATACACAATACCTAATGACCAACTTAAATCCCAATTCCTTTCTATTTTACGCGAATTCTACCTACACTATAGAAACTCTTAATTATAGCCCAAACCAGTTTCTAAGGAATGTGGCCCAGCCCAAAGTTTGTGCTGGGCCATTTCTAGTAACTCTAGATAATTAACTATATTATTAAGATTGAAACAGCACTTTATATGTATATACTAATTCTACAAATATACTTTTAAATCTTATAAAGAAGCTTGTATTGTATTAAAGGCTCCCAAATGTGACCTGAGTTTGAATTATGTTAAGTTTAAAGCCGAAACCGCAGTCTGTGAGAAACAGGAACAATGGACTCCTGAAGTAAGCCATGCCTGTCGTACTCTCAGAACTTCATGCTTAGATCAAAGTTCCTGCTAGTGGAATGTGCCAAACAGCAAAGAAGGGAAGAGGGAATGGGCCATCAGCTCCTGAACTCATCCTAGTGGTCTCAGGGTCCACAGCCCACCTGGATCCCTAATGGTCAGGCGGGCCTCCTCCGCTCCTCAGCCAGCTCCCAACAGCAGACAGCAGGTGCAGCCCTGGGGGAAGCTGAGCAGCAGGGGCAAGAAAAGAAATTCACCCTTGTAGTGGCACTGCACCTTCTCATTCACTGTGCTGCACTTTTTTTAAACTGAGAGAGACCATAATTAAAATGCAATTTTGAAAATTATTTGTAATAAAATATTGGGTGTTTGCTAGGTTGTTGTTACTAAGCATCACATCAATCTCGTTTTAAGGGAAAAGTTATACTTATAAGTGAGATTTCACTGAGAAAAATGAAAACTACTACTGAAGGATTGCAATATGTCTTTTATTGGCATATTAGAACATCTAAATAGTTTCATTACATGGGCTGTGATACATCTTTGAGTACATTGCCAGCTTATGACTAGGATATAACACTGTAGAGAACCAGTTCTAGCAGCACACAATACATCTGAAGCACCAACACACACAGAAGAGGGAGATCAGACATAACCTGGCATTTGCAAGGTACCATTTACTTGAAGTTCAAAGAGGATTGACAATGCATTTTAAACAAAAAAGCTTTGGAATGTCTAGAAATTAAACCAAAGGTCCAGACTTTAAAGTTTAGTCTCGCACGCCGTGATCTATTTTAACAAACAGTCCAGAGACTCTTAAGTAGATTGATTATTGAATCTAGAGTTTGCAACTGACTTATAGAGTGACTCTAGGATTCCAGGACAAGCTAACCTCTGATCTAAAAAGCATGTTTAGATCTAACATATGCTTTTGGAAAGCATCCTTGTGAGTTTCATTGACAGGAATGAAGTTGTGTATTTATGCATAACCCACGAGAAAGTGTTTTGGTTGTTGTGCTAGTTTAGAACAGTCTAATTCAGCAAATGTATCGTCAAGTAGTAGTGAGATAACTATCCTGATGACTGTCTAGAGAAAGGCTGATGCAAAGGTCGTGACTGACGGATGCAGGCAATGAGTGGCATGTAAGTACCTGATATAAATTTGTGCAACGAACCGGCTATCCTGAATGAGCGACTAATCATGTTTGGTGTCGCACCTAAGCTAATTATTATGATCAATGTACCATAGTCACTACTTAGGATAAATTAGGCTTCCAAATCTTAGCTAAAGGCTTAGAAATAATGTTCCTATGCATTGCCTTGCCATCCCCACAGCTAGATACAACTATTAGAAGTTAGTTTTAACTGACACTAACAACAGCTGGAAAAGTACTTGGAATATGTCGTGTGTTTGTGTGTGTGTGTGTGTGTGTGTGTGTGTGTGTGTGTGTGTATGCACACACGTGTTTGGTGGGTTGCTGAGAATGACAGCTGTATGATTCTCTCTTTAATGCATTGGAGAGTTGTTTCTTTGCCTGTGATCATGTCTACTTGGTAGAACTGCTAGTGATTAAATGATTCTGGAAAGCGAAGGGTTGTTCACACCAAGCCAACTTCCTGAGATGAAGATTTTCACCAGCTTACTTTTCTTTCCTTCCTGCAAAGTACAAGACCATTAGCACTCAAGTTTGGAGTGTGTTTGCCAAGAATCCTCAAGGCCCATGCTGGCATTGATGAGTCATCTTACTAAAGCACAATTTGAATTGTCTTTATGTTAGTGTAAGAGCCTAGCTGGCCAGCAGGCACCCACATCTTCAGCTGGTTGCTCTTGATACATTTCTACCATGTTGCTCTTGATACATTTCTACCATGAATACACAGGGAAGTTGATCAAGGTGATGTTGCCCCCAGGAGACATCTGGCCATGTCTGGAGATATTTTTGGTTGTCACAACTGGGAGGAGGGTGTTCCTGCCATCTAGTGAGAAACCAGAAATGTTGCTAAATATCCCACAACACACAGGACAGGCAGTCCCCAACAGTATAGAATTACCCAGCCCCAGAAGTCAATAGTGCTGAGGTTAAGTAATAGACTGCCCTAACCGAATCACTTAAAAATAAACACTTTGTTTTATTTAGAACATTTCTAACAAATGTCATTATAGAAATGGAGTCCTACGGAGAGTTTATGTGGCAGGTTTTTTTTAACGTTATAAATTAGTTTAGAGATCAGTATTTACGAAAATTACTGAGGATCTCAAGGGGATACTTAACTTTTCCAGCTAAACTTTATTCCATTATTTGAGATATTGCTTCAGAGGTCACAAGAAATAAGTTAAAATTGGCTACCTCTTATCCAAAGACTTCTCCCTGTGCCAGACACAATAGGAGACACTTTCATAAATTGTGTCATGTATTCCTCACCACAACCTTGAAAGGTAAAGCATGACTAATCCCATTTTACAGATGAGGGAACAGAGGCTCAAATAAGTTGAGTTAGCCTTTCAAGGTCACACAGATAGTAAATGATGAAACTATGCAAACCCAAATCAGACAATTTTCTCTGCAAGATGCTGTCCTCGGGAGTTATTGAACTTTTTAACTATAAAGTAAATATATCTTAGCAGCATGAGAAGAAAAATAAATGAAAATAACCAAGATTATATTTATCTAAAAATGTGGCTACATTATACCAAATAGGCTAAGTCTTTGCTCCCCTTTTTGGGTTTGTTCAAAGTGGCTTAAGAGGATCGTGTCTGGCCAGGCGTGGTGGCTCAAGCCTGTAATCCCAGCACTTTGGGAGAGCGAGGCAAGAAGATTGCCTGAGTCTACAGGTTTGAGACCAGCATGGGCAACTTGGTGAGACCTTGTCTCTACAATAAATCAGAAAATTAGCTGTACAAATTAGACTTTGTCTGTACAATAAATTAGCTGTACAATATTAGACCTTGTCTCTACAATAAATCAAAAAATTAGCTGTGCCTGTAGTTACAACTACTTGGAAGGTTGAGGCAGAAGGAACACCTGAGACCAGCAGGTTGAGGCTGCTGTGGCCATGAGCAGTGTGCCACTGCACTCCAGCCTGGGTGACAGAGTGAGACTCCAACTAAAAAAAAAAAAAAAAAGAGGGTTGTGTCAATTATTTCTACAAATCTTCCATCACCTAGATAATTCAAGCAGAGACGAAACTAGCTTTCTATTCAATTACCTAGATAACTGGAAGGAGAATGGCAGTTGGTATCCCCTAAAATTTTGGGTCTGCAAAATGGAAGGGTCTCCACTACTTCCAGTCTGAGAACTATCAACTTTACCTTTAAATCTATGCACATTCCATCATAGTTTGTCATTATGATTTTGGTAGATCTTATTGAGTTTTAAGAATAATCAGGGCCGGGCTCGGTGGCTCAGCCTGTAATCCTAGCACTTTGGGAGGCTGAGGCGAGTGAACTGTCTGCGCCCGAGGGTTTGAGATCAGCCCAGGCAACTTGGCAAGATCTCATCTCTACAATAAATAAAAAAAAATTCGCCGGGCGTGATAGCACACACCTCTAGTTCCGGCTACTTGAAAGGCTGAGGTGGAAGGATCGCCAGAGCCCAGCAGGTTGATGCTGGGGTGACTGTGAGCGTGCCATTGCACCCCAGCCTGGGTGACGGAGTGAGACTCCAACTCAAAAAAAAAAAAAAAAGAATAATCAGAAAGTGCTATTCTATAATTGTGTCAAGTTCAACTCCAAGTTAGTTAACCTTGACTGGTTTTCACAAGACTTCAACACAGATCCTGTGTCAAGGAAGAAGTCTGGAGGAATTTTCATTTCTGGAGCAAGATTCATCTCTAAGGCACCAGCTACCATGACACATCAGAATTTGGGGGCCATGTAGATGGGATATTTGGGTACTCAGAGTGAGGACAAATTAGTGTATGAATGAAGTCTATTACTGGAGAGCTGCACAGTCTCAACCACACCTGCTTTGTAGTGTCCTAACATAGAGCAGGACCTACCTGCCAGAACCTCTTTGATGGAGGAATTCTGTTTCTACTCCTTCAAATAGAACCCAGATACCCAGATTTTGTCACCAAGGGGTTAGTTTTGAGCTTTTATACATTCCAACAAATGTTAAAGCCTCATTTTCTATGTAGGCACTTTATAGATTTATTACAAATGACACACTCCACACATCACCTTGTGAATTTAAATTCCTGTTTTCTGTTTGTCTGATAGAAAATTACTGGTATCCGCAGCTTAGATCATTGTCTTTGCTGTGTTACCTTCAAACTCCAAGGGCTTTCTTCTTTGGAAAATATGGATTTTTTGTAATTTTATCTTCAAAACCCAATTATCTTGAGCTCTTTTCAAGTAGGCCTATAAAAACCCAGGGATTATTTCAGAAGTAAAGCAGCACCCTGCTTCTGTATCTCCTGAAGTGGCTACACACCAACATTAAGGAATGACCAGGAAGCAGAGAATACTCATAACTGTGTTGATATAGACCATGGTCCCTTCCAAAAACTACAAGGATTTTTTTTTTTAAAGGTCTTTCTAGAAGCTACTAGGTCATGATTTCTTCGAAGTCAGACAGCTGCTTCATCTGTTCAATTTGCATAGAATGCCTTCTGAGGAGCTTCTTTTTACTTCGCAAGTCAACTCTCTTTGGTGAGCTTGGAGCAACAGGGACCATAGATTTTAAGCCACTAGCGATGGGGGGAGAGGGTTTGCTGCTAGATCTAATATCTGGGATAGGTGGGTTCAGATTCACATTTAAAGGTGGAAGGAAGCCAGGCCTAGTGTGAGAAATGCGGTCTAGGAGCAGAGTTCCAGAACCTCGTCTTTCTAGAAGATGTGGCGGCCTGCGTCGTGCTGAGCTGGGGGATGTGCTGGGCACGGTATCCAGGGATTCCCGTGAGCCATGGAAAAGGGACAGGTGGGAGTTGTTGAGCTTCTTTCTATCTAAGGGTCCTTTGCCTGATTCGAGGGAAATGGAGTTGGGCGGGTCAGTTCCGGACTGTAGATCTAAGTCGCAGAGGTCATTTTCCAGACGCTTGAGGGATGCTGACTCTTTGAGAGCAGAGGGTCCGGATGGACCCATGCCACCCTTCTCTTGGTCAACAGGGAGAGTTCCTCTTCTGGCCAGACGTGGGTGGGGAGCCTGACCTTTCTCATAGGCTGCTTTCCAGGAGGCTGGTGCTGGAGAGGGTGGAATCTTCAGAACTTGTTCCATGACTGTGGGGAAGAGAGCAGGGTCTTTGCTGTCAATACTGTTGGCTCTGGAGAGGGGCCCCCTTTTAGAAAAGGACATGTCACTGATACTCTTGATGACCTCATTGTCTGTGCTGGCACCATGGGTCTCGTCCTGGCGCATTGAGGCTGCCAGCACAGAGGGTGCGATCAGGCCCCAGGGTTCAGACTGAAGCCTCTTCAGTTGGGGCAAACGGGCCCTTTTGAGATTACTGACTTTCCTGGTGGGTGACCCAGGCTCATTAAGAGCCTTGGGGGCGTTGCAACCACTTGGATGCCCTGTTTGGAGGCTGAAGAAGTCGTCTTCCTTCTCATTGGGTGGAGAGCCCAGGCCCGGAGCCTTCAGCTCGATATCAGAGGGAGATGCACATAGTGGAGGTGACTGTCTGTCTTCCACTTTGGGCGATGGAGGGACATTAAGATACTGTTTGGTGGTTTTGGTGCCTGAAGACGATTTATCTGTTGTTATAATGATCACCTCCTTCCCTTTGGCTTTGCAGGCATCGAGGAGATGCTTCAGTGCATCCTTGTCATCTGCATTTATGGCATAAACCAGAGCTGAAGCTCCGGTGCGATCCTCAAGGCTGGGGTCTGCTCCATTCTCCAGTAATAAAGAGACCACTTCTCCCCCGGCTCTTCTGATGCAAGCGTGAATGAGCGCGGTCTTGCCAGACTTATCTTGGATATTGGGGTCTGCCCTGTTGTCCAGCAGGTACTTCACCATCTTGGACTTGCTGATGCTTTGCTGGTCCACATGTTTGGTGATGCACGCCACCATGAGAGCTGTTTCACCCTTGTCATTGCTTTCATTGATATAAGCTCCCCCTTCCAGGAGCAGTCTGGTCAGCCGGAGCCTCCCTAGCCACACAGCCTTTAAAAGAGAGTTTCCATCAGTCCTCAGTTCAGTGTCATCGTCCATCATGTTGGCTACAGCTTAAAGTCTCTGAGCCACAGCAGCAATCAGACCTAGTAAGGGAAGAAGAAGAGGAAAAAGATGTCAGGTATTCTACAGCAGATCCATACAGCATGCTAGTTACAGGGTCTGAGTACAGTTGTATTCTAGTCTGATCCCAAGTTGTGTTGCCATGGTCAAGTGACCTAACATCTCTGAGTTTGCTTCTTAAACTATAATGCATGTTGAGGGGTGGGGAACAGTAGTAACTTAACTCTTAGAGTCATCATGAAGATTGCATGAGAGAATGTGTATAAAACACCCACATGAAAAGCAGTTAACACAATGCCTAGCATATGGTAAATTTTTTTTTCAAATGCAGGATGTTATTGTGTTGACTGCACAACACTTATCACAAGTGTAGAACTCTAAGTTCCTTTAAAAAAGGTTTGTGTCTACTTTGTTCACTGCAGTATCCTCGGCATTTAACAGTGACTCACACATAATGAATAGGTTGCCTCATAAATAATTGTTTAATATGTTGTTATTATGGGTGTGCATCAAAAGACTAGTAGGAAATACACCAAAATGTTAATCCTTATTCTGGGTAATAGGATTATGGGTAGTTTCATTTTCTTCTTTATTGCAGTATTCCCCAAATAAATATGTATTACTACTGTCATGAGGGAAAACAGTAAAAAAATTTTAAAAATTCTAAAACAAAATCATCTAGTTGTATTTTTTCAGGATGTCATCTCTCCTTTTCCAGCAGATGTCAGGATTCTTCTTCTCCTCATTCAGAATAGCTCAATAATGCCTTGCTATATCCTTCCTTCTGGTTGAACTGATAGGAGGCAGAGAACAGAGAAAGGGATTGCATTTTTGCTCACAAGTATCAGGCACTATAGCTCAAACTAAAGCCTTACTTGGCTAGGACTTGTCAGACCTGAGTTTCCTGTTTTGATTCTCCCATGTCAGTTCTTTAATTCCTGAGCTCAGCACCTCCAACCTGTGTATTGAGGTCTTTCATAAATAAGGAGAGACAAGTGGTCCTGCTAGGATGTCCCAAGAGCTCATGGGTACCACATTGGCCTGTGACTCTACCAGCCCAGCCCCTAAATATGGACTTTTTTTTTTTTTTGAGTTAAGGGGTCTCACTCTGTCACTCAGACTGTAATGCAGTGGCACCATCACAGTTCACCGCAGCCTTGGCCTCCTGGGCTCAGGTGATTCTTCCTCCTCAGCCTCTCAAGTAGCTGAGATTACAGGTGCACACCACAATACTCAATTAACCTTTTTGACTTTTTTAAGAGATGAGATCTTGCTATATTTCCCAAGCCGGTCTCAAACTCCTGGCCTCAGGTGATCCTCCTATCTCGGCCTCCCAAAGTGCTGGGATTACAGGTATGAGTCATCATGCCCAGCTCGAATGGACTTTTTATGCCTCCAGCTCCTGGTGATCTACTTGCCACAATTCCTGAATTTCCTCTTCATCTGATCCACATCATTCTTTCCTTACTTACTACCCTGAGTGTTATTTATTGATTTATATTCCCCCATTAAATTGGAGGGCAAAGTTTTTCTTGAAATTGAGAGATGGATATATATCCTTCTAAGAATATTAATCCATGAATAGATACTTGCTATTTTTTTAAAAACCACAGATGAGGCAATAAAAAGGAAGAAGTTTCCTTTCCCCATCCCCCACTTCTCCTTGAAGCCACCCTCCTCTTCAGAAGAAAACATGGTTGAGAGTTTAGTGTGAATTTTTCTGCTTCAGATCATTTCTACTTCTTTGAATGCATTGTTCTGATAACGACATGTCTCATCTTGTTATTACTGTGTTTATTTGTTTCCACTAGGTTTTCTGCAAAACTTCCACCCTCTGAGGACACTGTGTGGTTATTAAATATATTGACAACAGTTTTCTGTTTCTAGCTCTCCATCTCCTTCCTTTTTATCCCTTCAGTCTCCTACTGATCTTCTCCCCCTGTGTGTGTGAAAGAAAGAGATGGCCTCTCTCTCTCTCTCTCTCTCTCTCTCTCTCTCTCTCTCTCTCTTTCTCTCTGTCATTTTAATCATTTTGATTCCTCTGAAGCCCTACATACCACTGTTGTGTTAGAGTCCTAGGCATCAATAAACTTGTCAGTGTCAAGGTTCTGAGGATTTGAAGCAGAATTTCCAAGGACCAAATGAATAAAAAGGACTATCCAGAGAAAACATACTTCTTTCCATTCCATCAAAGGGATCCTTCACCTCCTGGCCCCATCTCACCTCTCCAGCAGTATCCCCTACCACCCCAGTCTTTTTCACATTCTGTCTACCTTGAAATCTCATAATCTCTTAATGCACCATGCTATTTTTTCCCTCTTGGCACTGTTCATGTTTCTAACTATAAGGTCTCCCTGCTCTTCTTTAATTATTCATCATCCTCCTAACTTCAGCTCAAATGTTACTTCCTTTGTAATCAAGAGGAAAATCACTCAAGATCGAAGAGGGAGAGTTGAGTAAAATTACAATGACTCATATCCAGACTATATAAAGAACTCCTACAAATCACTTCCTCCAAAAGAGGATACACAAATGACCAATAAGCATATAAAAAGATACTCAGCCTCATTAGTACTCAAGGAAAATCAAATTAAACCACAATGAAATACCACTACACCCAGAAGGGCTAAAATTAGACAGACTGACAAGACCAAGACGGATGTAGATGGGAAGCAACAGGAACCTGTTGGGAGTATAAATAAATTGGCACCACTCAACTGAACTGAAGCCCACACTCTGACATGGTAATTCCATACCTAGGTTTATACCTGGGGTAGATTGCAAAACACGCCCACAATGTCCTCCCATCCTGGCATGTACACTAGGACTGAGCCTCCTGACTTGCTTTGACCAATAAAATGTGGCAAAAGTAACTGTGTGACTTTCAAGGCAAAGCCTCAATACACCTTGTAGCTTCCAACTTTGCTGTCTTGGAAGTCTGGTCCATCCCATCAGAAAGGGCACATGGAGTTTCAGCTGATAGCTCCCACTAACTGCCAGAATTTGAGTGGAACCATCTGGGACTATCCAGCCCCAGCCAGCCCCCAAATGATTGCATCTGTGTGAGGAAACCCAGGCAAGACCAGAGTAAGAAATGCCCAGTGCCTGCGCCAACTTGCAGAAAATAAACAATTATTGTTTTAAACCACACACTTGGGGATGGTTGCTCACAGCAATTGATTACTAATAAATACATGTACCAAAAGACATCAGCAGCACTACTCAAAAAAAGAGTAGTGATTTGCTCTACACACAAAAAACTGGAAACAACCCATCAAGAAGGAAATAGATAGGCAGAGTGCCATGGCTCATGCCTATAATCTCAACACTTTGGGAGACCAAGGTGGGAAGATCACTTGAGGCCAGGAGGTCAAGACCAGCCTGAGCAACATAGCAAGACCCCTGTCTGTACCTAAAATTTAAAAAATTAGACTGGCGTGAGGTGGTACACACTTGTAGTCCCAGTTACTTGGGAGGCTGGGGCAGAAAGAATGCTTCAGCCCAGGAGTTTGAGGTAGCAGTGAGCTATGATCACACCACTGCACAGACCAAGACTCTGTCTCTAAAAAAAGAAAGAAAGAAAGAAAACAAATAAAGAAATCATGGCATATTGTATATTCATACACTGGAATACCTTATACCATCTTTGTATGTTTTCTTTTCCTCTCTTATACACACACACACATACAAAAAGCCAACCAAAATGGATGCTGCACCCCCTGTGTTCCTCAATACTTTGCAACTTTCTCTGTTGGAGTATTGATCATGTTAATCATCTAGGTCAGCTGCCTCTGCAGAAGTCTGAGTTCCTCGAGGCAGGAATACTGTCTTTTCTCCCTTGTCAGTCATGTAATGGTTGGAAAGTGGGATCAAGGAAAGGATGGAGGAACAGAGGAGAAGGAAAGGAAGGTAGGAGGGAGGGTGGCTGAATAGTTGAGTTACCTTTTATTTTGTGTGTAGAGCAAATTACACACCTGCAGTCTACCTCAAAGTCAAGGAAGGGAAAGAGGGAGGGAGGCAAGAAAAGAGACAAAAAAACGAAAGGAAGAAAGAAAATGGTGTATCTAGGAGACCGCTTCTCTCCCTGCACTTGGAATCAGTGGCCACTTCCTCTCCTAAGCTCAGGCCTTGCCCTTAATCAAATCCCCTCCTCCAGCTTCCAAAGAGGGAGCAAGCTGGAGGCAAGATGCCTGAGCTCCTCCCTGTGGTCAGGAATATCCAGCCCACCCATAGTTATAACATATATAACATTCTGTGTGCTAGGCAAGCTACTTTGTAAGTTGTCTGTAGCCATTTTTTTCACTGTGGACCTCCCAACTGAAATTCTTTATATGATGAAAATGCAAGAGCTTTGTTTGAGCACAGAATCAGGTGCTTACCTCACTCTTGCAGCCCAGATAAAATGTGCTGGGCTAACATTAACTGTTGGCATGCTGCATTTACCTTACCCTTGCCTTTTAAGAATACTGGGTTTAAAAGACTGCAGTTTCCGTGACTGACTGACAATAGCCTTACAAATTACACCAGACTCAATTCATGCGTCATCCCAGATTTGCATAGCCATAGCTACTGTCCCTGTCTCTGGGTGTTGACCACTTACCTCGCTTTCTTCTCTGAGTGACCTTAGCAAAGGCCAAGCCTTTTCCACAGTCTTAGAGCCAGGTCACTGCTGCTGTTGTCCGTACAGGTGCTGGAGACCCACACATGCTTTCAACTGACCAGGAAAATCTGACCGTGGCCTGACTTTTTCCAGCAGCTGCCCAGAAAAGCAAAGTCGCTCAACCCAGAAATGTGGGGGAGTTAACCCTCTGTAGAAGAGATACCAACCAATAGGAGACAGAGGATGGAAAAGAGCCTCCTTTCTTCACCCAATTGCTGTACCAAGATGAAAGGTTATACAGTTTCCAGAAGACTTGTTACGGAGTTGTGGCTCGCTCTCTCTTTCTTGTATTTGCTCTTCTTCCTTCTTTGCCTTGCATTTCATTGTCCTCCATTTCTATTCCCCAGGGTTTTACAACCCAAT